AAAACACTGACAATCTATTTTTATAGTAAGTATTCCAGGTTAAATGAGGTGGTGTACAGGTAGGGGAATGCAAAAAATAAGTCATCTTAGCCATCTTGGATTGCAAAAAATATGTCCCCAAATCTGTAGCTAGGTAAAAGTATCAGAGCATTTGTGCAACAGGAGTTGGAGGAAACCAAAGTATAAGATAACTCCCTCAAAACCCCGATTTGCCTCTGAAGGCAGGCTGGAAAAGGTGTTTCTACAGGTTATATGTCCTTTTGGACCAGTCTTCCCTTTCAGAATTCCCTGTTACTGTCATAGAAGGAAATTGGGGGTATCCGTGGGGGTGTGGGGGGTGTGTGTGTCAAAGACGTCGAGATGGTTTCTGCAACTATGGCTGGCATCTTGAATTTTTACACTCCTTCCCCTGCATGGATGCCCTCAAAAGGAATCAATGCCAGAACCAGACTGGTATAAACGTATTGCTGGCCTTCAGTGCGTACTGAAGGAAGGAGTTTTGTGGCACAGAAAATAAATGCTGTCTTGTCCTTGAGCAACTGTGGAACTTTGTCATCTGTGAAGCAAGATTTGTGTAGGATTCCCCAGTGCCCAGGGTAGGGGCGAAGATTGGAGTTCACCTCTCTTTTTCTGTCCTCAGAGGGAGCAATCCAAAATATCTAATACACCGTTCAATGCCCTTCCTTAGTATTCTAGCCTGGATGATTTGCATTAACCCATCAGTTCAAAATGTATTAATTTTATTTAGAAGTTGCCAATATCAAAATTGTCTCTTGGAGGAAGACTGTAGCTATGAGATATCCCAGGACCACTGTCTTGATCCTGTCTTGCTGAATTTCTTTCTTGCTTAACATACTGTACTCGTGGGCATGTGATTCAACCATGTACTAACTAGGGAAAAGTCTCTTAGAGTTTTCGGTCTCTAAAACAACCCTCTTTTCTTTTTCTTTGCACCTTCCAGCTTGCTCAGAGGACTGTAGTAAGTATCAAACAAGTTTTTGATCCCCACCCCTTCAGTTATTTTCTGGTCAGACCATGCAGCTTTCAGTGTGGGTACTTTGGAGTCTGACCCTGACATTTCTCTTTTGCAGCAGTGATAGAAGGACCTGTTTTGGACTGCTGGACATGTCTGCGTATCACCACACAGTGTTTTGATGGAGAAGTCTGTGGAGGTATGGATGGAGAAGGGGAAGGGTGATTTCTGCCTTATTCTGTGTCTCAACTCATTGCTTTTGGGGGGAGCTAAAATAGTCTTCCCTGTCTCCAGCTATGTTACGATAAGCCATCGTTCCCATCCAGCAAAGACACTGGCTTGTAGTGGCTGAGGATGATCAGAGTTGTAGCCTAATCTGTAAATCTATCCGAATCTATAAAAAGGTTTACTTCAGAAAAACCCTGCTCCAGAATAGATGTGAATTTAAAATATAGTTTTCAACTGAGTACTAACTGAATCCCTTGGCAGGGGGAGGTGGGGACAATATTCTTGAATAATGTTAAGTTAATGCAATTCATATCTGGAACAGGTTAATTGTTCTGACTAGTTGAAACTTGACAAGGAAATTCTGCTTTCCCCTCATACTGTAAATTTGCATGAGTGTGAAAAAATGAAATAACTGTAAATCAGCAGTTTCAAAATTGATTAGCTTGAATAAACTTTTATTTTGAAATGATATATTTCTATTTTATCATCATCATCATCATCATCCCAGCCTGGTTGCATTCCTGTTTTTTGGTATCAGATTGTGTAGCAGAATAGAAGAAATAATAGCTATTTCCGTATAAAAGATGCAGTTTTCACTACTCATAAAATAAGAACAATACCTAGGTATTCATTTCTGAAACATTTCAAATTCATGCAGTTCCATGATTTCTCAGGAATGAAATCCTCTTTCACACCTGTAAGATTCGATCTTTGCTAAATGTAGAAATGAATGCAATTTTTAAGTTTTAATTCCAGTATTATTCCCTATCGCAGCTCCAACTTGAACAAAAAATGCGCAGGAGAGAAGATACATTCCCCAAAATACCTTGAACATACCTAACTCTCCAAAAATAGAATTGGCTTCTCCAAAACATAGTCCTCCCTTCTTGTTCCCATTTAAAGATGCCCATTTAGGCAACTGAACCAATATATAGATGGGGCAGGAAGATGCTCTATCCCAGCATTAAATTATATGTGGGTTCACACAACACTCTAAAACAAAATGCAGTTTCTTGATGGAAGCTGCTTATAACTTAATATGACAAGTGAGCCCATCCAATTGTGGTTTAATCAAGAAATCTTAGTTAAGCAACCCCTATATTAGCCTAATGCAGTGTGTCTCAACCTTAGGAACTTTAAGATGTGTGGACTTCAACTCCCAGAATTCCCCAGCCAGCTGGCTAGGGAATTCT